CGGCCGCGGCTTCTACTGCGCATGCGCGAACTCGAACGCCGCGGCCGGCCCGGACTTAGTGCCCGTGTACAGGGCGGAGCATCGCGGGGATCCCTGACATTTTCCCTGTACTTGATGCCAGGACTACATTTCCCAGGATGCACAAATAACTCAACTGCGCATGAACAAGTTTCCGTTGATCCCTCCTCCCTAATAATACCGCCGTGGAAGAAAACCTGTCATTCATAGACATTTGGCCGTATGGTGGGTGAACCTTATGTGCCCTGCATTTCTCTTATGACTGTGAGCTTCCTGTGTGTCAGAGCACAGAGAGGCTTCATATTACTAAGGTTTAGTTCACACTAGCTTTGAAAGCAAGCATTTGATGGGTATTTATAACGCTCCTTAAATGCCTATGGAAATGATACTATGGGCAGCCCACAGTGCTGTTTACATTAGCAAAACATGAAGTGTTAGCGTTGCATCGCTTCAAAATTGAAGCCTCATGTCGAGTCAGGAAGAGTTTAAGCCTTTCAATGCCTCCTATTAAATTCTATGGTGATGCTGCTCAAACACTTGGCAGGCAATTTTCGGGGCAATTGCGTTATTACCATTAGAGTTTGTAGTGCAGTTTTAACGCTTGTAAAATGCCTCAAACCCACACATAAGGCATTTGGGGAGAGTATTTAGCGCTTGTAGAATGCCCATACTAAAGCCCATTAATGCCTGTCTAATGCTATAGGGGAATTTGTGAAGAGTTAGAAATTTAGTCAAATGTGAACAAGCCCTTAAAAGTCCAAAGACGGGAGAATGCACAGTGCATTGGCTCTTAGAGAGTTGGCTAGTAAAAGGAGTCACTGCAGAAATGGATGTAGAAGTATTGAGGAGCAATATAGATTTATAGATATAAAAAGAAGGCATTTAATGAAAAAGATGAAGACATGACACCTTGTAAGTAGTGCACTGTAATATTCAGTTACTTGCATTGGGTTTACTAACAATTTACAATACAACCAGGATGGCTGATGCTTTATCTCAGTTTTGTAGTAAGTTACTCCAATGCAACTTTTCATTATTCATTATTACTTGATTTCATATAATTTTGTCCCTAATGTCAGTAAAGAAACAAAAATCCACATGCATGCTTTAATAAACTGATGCAACCAGTATTTAATCACCGCCATATGGATTCTTTCTTTAGATATTGAGCATAAACTGACCATATCAACAAGCCTTCATCATACCTCCATTCAGTAATACATTACAAACTTTAATTTTGCTCCCATTATAGAAGAAAGCATTCATTAGCCAAGCAAAGGTCTGCACATGATGAATTTATAATAGTATAAGCTAGTTAAGCAGGATTGTATCATGCAGTCACAAGCACAGAGCTATAATCCAGTTAGATACAACAGATGCTGCTAAAGACAATTAGTAAGTCACATATCCATTTGAGGCCACTCAGGCCTAGGTAATAAATGGTCCAGATTGGAGATTGCCAAAACTTACCTGAGAAAGTCAAAATCCTTTTGGGAGAAGTGCTGTGGACAGATGAAACAAAATTACAGCTATTTGGTAAAGCCCATCATTGCAATCATCAAGCAATGAGGCTTTTAAAGAAAAGAATACAGTCCCTACAGTCAAACATAGTGGAGGTTCACTGATGTTTTGGGGTTGTTTTGCTGCATCTATGCAGATGTCTTGACCGTGTGCATGGCATCATGAAATCTGAAGACTATCAAAGAATTCTGGGGAGCAATGTAGGGCCCTGCATCAGAAAGTTGGGTCTTCTTCAGAAGTCATGGGTCTTACAGCAGGACAATGACCCAAAGCACACGTACTAAACTGGCCAGCAATGAGTCCAGATCTCAATCCCATAGAGCACCTATGGAGAGATCTCAAAACAGCAGTTGGGAAAAAGAGTTCTTCCAATACGAGAGTCCTGGAGCAGTTGGTGAAAGAGGAGTAGTCCGAAATTCCAGTAAAGAGGTGTAATAAAATCATTGATGGTTACAGGAAGAGATTGATTTCAGATATGTTTTTTTCCCTGGGGTGTGCTACCAAATATTGAATTGAGGGTGGCAATAATTTTGTCCAGTCCTGTTTTGGAGAAGTTGATTGGAATGTGTCAGATTTGGCTTTTCGTTTCTCCACTTTTTTGTGTCATACCAATACAAACAAAAGAAATAAAAATGAGAATGCCTAAACATTTGTAATTGCATCGGTTTTCTGGGCAAAGTGGTGTATTATCTGACAGAAATGCAAGGGTGCTAATATTTTTGTCCATGACTTACATGATTCTGCACAGAGAGGCTGCCCTGTAGCAGTAAACCTACTATAGAGTAGTCAGCAACTGGCTATGTGCATGTTACCATGATTTTATGGGACTGCCCTGGTTGTTGGTACATACAGTGAGGTAAAATACAGTTAATTGCCGGATCAGCATTTTGGAAGCACATTAATTACCTAGGCATGAATGCCTCAAATGGATATATAACTTTCATGCTAATTAGCTTTAGCTGCATCTATTATTTCTAACTGGCTTACATCTTTGTGCTTGTGACTGCAAGATAAAATCCTGCTTACAGATCTGTGCTTGTGACTGCAAGATAAAATCCTGCTTGGCTAACTTATGCAAATATAAATTCATCATGTGCAGAACTTTGCTTGGCTAATGAATGCTTTCTTCTATGATGGGAGCAAGTATAAAGTTTGTGCTGTAATACTGGACAGAAGTTTAATGAAGGTTTGTTGCTATCATCAGCGCAACATCTAAAGATTTAATCCATATGGTGAAGATTACAAATACTGGTGCATTGGTTTGTTAAAGCATGCTTCTCAAGATTGTCTCTTTTACAGAAATGAGGATATTTACAATGAACTAAATGACATGAATTCAAATAATATTGAAACGGTATGTTGCCGTAATCTACTATGAGATTGAGATAAAACGTTAGCTGCTCGGGTCATTGGTCACTGTTTCAAAAATAGAATGGAGAATGAAAAAGTGTAGATGGGGACAAAAGTGTAGCGTTGAGTTGCACAATGAGGATATCTGCATTTTCTATAATGAAGTAAATTTCTCACACCTGCCTAGTCAGGTAGGCAACCAATATTGTTTTCTTTAACACAAATGCTCTGCTCAGCATTTTCTAATTCAGAATTACAGGTACTGCTGCCCCTCATTCTAGCATACAAACCCATCCCAGCACATGTTTCTTCTAGCAGTAACTTTTTACCCCTTGTGCCCTGCACTGGCATACCTAGCATATCTGGCACTGAAGTAAATCATTTTAACACAAACACCCCACCCCATACATTATAATTATTTGCAGTAAAAAAAAAAAAGAAAACATGATATTAAACATCATACACACTGTGGGTGTGAGTAGATTTGGCTGGTGGAAGGTGGACAGCAGTAGCTGTAAGTACAGATCCAAATTTTATGCTTAAGATCCTGAATTTGGCATATCAATCCACCAAATGCGCAGGAGTTCAGAGATGCTATCTCTTTGCCAGCACAGGAAAATATTTGGAGGGGGGCACCTTGAATGGATTAATATGAAAAATGCAGTGTGCATAGCATAGTGCTCTAAGGAACGTTTGAAGGCATGTCCAATAAATTGGGTGTAGCATTACAGTGTCTTTGTGTCTGTGTAGTGGGGGAGTAAAAGAAGACCTGTCATTGTTGTCAGTGGCAATAATAATAAACACCAGCATTAGTGCAAGTGGCCAAATTATTCTGCAATAGTGGTCAATCATATTACTGTTTAACTCTTCAGCATTGGTGGTCAGTGTCAGGCAGTAATAAACACTTCCTTGGCATCCTAATCTGTAATAGCATGCTCCCCGGCATTGGTAGTCGGTGACAGACTTAAGCTGCAATAAACACCCCCCATCATGGTCAGTGGCAGTTTCAGGCTGTGTCCGACCCCCCCCCCCCCATCTAGAATCAGTTTTCAGTGGCAGGCTGTAATTATAACCCCAACAGAAGTCAGTGACAGACTGAGGCTGTAATAATAAGTGCCCTCCAATATCTGTGGTCCGTGGCAGGCTCAGGCTGTAATAATTCTTCTCAGCATTGATGGTTAGTGGCAAGCATAGGCTGTAATAATAAACCCCTCAGCATTGGTGTTCGATGCATTTACTTGCTTGAGTACCCATGCCGCTGCATCTCATCCAGTTGGCTGAGACTATTCCTCTATTGCAAGGCAAAAATCCAGATGACTGCTCCAGTTCTTTCAGTGCCTGCACACCACAGCCACTTTACAAATCAATGGCGACTGCACCAGGGCACCCCACTAGGTGTTCTGCTGCACTGCGTATTCCAAATTATTAGTTGTGGCTAAACTAAATAAGAAGACAAAAGGAACTAGATAATTTCTTGAACACTTTTCGATGTTAAAATGTATGGTCACAGAAAAGTAGCAGTTGAAAAGTGTATACATAAATCTGTCTAATGCATTTCATCATAAGACTAAGGCAATAAAACTACATCTGGACAATATGTTTCTGCCCCGACAGGCCATGTTAACATTTGGAGAGGTTGCTCTTGATACACTTGTATGGAAAATTGTATTCCAGTAACCCTCTAATGGTTTTTGTTATGTTCAATACATAAAAGATAAGGAGAACATGTAGCTACAGCTTGATTAGAGGTGTAGCCCTACAGGTAAAAAAAAAGTAGCTAACATTGTATAGAATATACACTATTTACACTGAATTACATTTTTTATCACTTCCAAAGCCACCTTCTAGGGACAGTCATGCTGTTTATTTGCTCTTCATAACATCAGTGTCAGCACTTGTGTCATTACCTGGCTCACCTGCTGGTGGCACTGTTGTTCCTGGAGCTGAAGGGAGCAGTTCTGGTGGCCTCCAGCAGGTGGGAGCATTAGCATTCTTCCTGTGATCTGTGTCCTTTCCTCAAATTGATCCTGATCCTGTATCCTGTTCCTGTACCTGATCTCAATCCTTGTCTCTGTGACCTGCTCCCTGCATCTAGCACCCAGTCTGGAACGGAACTGACCATTTGGAAACTCGGGCACTGCCCGAGGGCCCAGGGTCAGTAGGGGGCCCCATGAGATGCCCCTGGTACATTTTTCATAGGCTTTTTTGAGTTTGGGCAAGGACACAGGGGCCCCATGATCCCCTATTGCCCAGGGGCCCCATGAGTTGTCAGTCCGCCCCTGCTCCCAGTGTTTTCTGTCTCAGTCCTGGCCTTACCCTGCTCATGTGTGCTCCCTTCATTTGTACATAGTTGGGTTATCATTGGGTTCTGCAATGTCACATTTATTTTGTCACTTTCTATTGTTTATGATTTATTGGTTCTGGTGTTGGAAGAGTGAGATTTATCTTAATAAACTTCATTTAACCTTAATCAGCCGGATTCCTGATTTCTTAAGGTACAGTCTACTGATCTGGTCATCCTTGCTGAATACTTTCATTTGTTATTCCTTACAATTAGCAGCTATGGAAAGCTGAGAAGAAGTAACTACAGGCAGGTCTCACATGGGTATAACTGCTGGAGGCCAAGAAGGTATTCACCATGTTTATGAAACACATTTGCCAGTTAGTTTTGTCTACAATTTACATTGTCGAGTAACACTTGTTAACATTCACCTACATCTGTTATTTAATAGGGGTTGACCCTAAGCATTGATTCATACATGTGCATTGTGGAATGAAGCTCAGGTTTCACAGCTAGTTGGCACAGTAATAGTTCAGCAGTTCAGGTCAGGTTTACATCAGGTTCAGGACAGGATTAGCTCAGAATTTTACCTTGTTCACACATATGTGAACTGGACCTCACTGCTCAGAAATCGGACATGACTCTTTTTAAAACTGCACTGAATCAGCATCGCCAGTGCACCGGACATATGTGAACAGGCACCATAGGAAGCAATGTTATTTCACATGCCATGCGGATTGGATGTGGTTCAAACCGCATCCAATCCGCATATATGTGAACGGGCACCTATTATACTTTTCACCAGGGGCGGAATGACCATTTGGAAACTCAGGCACTGCCTGAGGGCCTGGGGTCAGTAGGGGGCCCCATGAGATGCCCCTGGTACCTTTTTCATAGGCTTTTGTGAGTTTGGGCAAGGACACAGGGGCCCCATGATCCCTTATTGCCCGGGGGCCCCATGAGTTGTCAGTCCGCCCCTGCTTCTCACACAATTTATACCTCAGCAACTTTTAAATTAACTGTACATTCAGAATATAGTATAACACCAAATATAGTGAAGGGTGTATGTAGAATTCTTGCTAGAAATTTAAAAAAAGTATGTAAAGGCAACATTTTTTTTTAGTTTGGGGACAGAATGGGGAAAGGTTAATGCTCTACCTCCACTGTCTATGTTCCTCCTGGGGAGATTTATCTATCTATCTATTTGTCCAGAATACCAAGGTCACCAGAACAGAGAGTGATGAGAAATCCAAAATTTTTGAGTTGTCATCTGCACAAGAAGTTAGGGAAAATCTTCCAATGGGGACACCTGATTCAGTGACAACTAAATATAGGAGGGGAATTCTGCTAACTTTCTGTTGTGTCTCCAGGACACCAAGTGAAGGAAAATATTTCCAATGGGACACAAATGGCTAAAAATAACCTGAAATGTTTTTAACCCCTCCTTATACTATCCAAGCATAAAAAAAAATGTTTGGGCTATGCATAGACACTAAGTTAAATAAGAAGTTAAAGTGATTTTAACTTTTTTTTTTAACACTTAACATACCTGCACATCCCATACACAAAAAAACCCACTTAAACTCCTACTCAACAAAAAGCCTGGCAGACCATGAAACCATCAACATAAAATATTAACCACTTCAAGTCCGGACACTTTCACCCCCTTCCAGTCCAGTCCAATTTTCAGCTTTCAGTGCTATCACACTTTGTATTTCAATGGTTTTTATTAATTAATAACAATTAACACAGGAGCAAAAAATCACGCCCACACAGGGGCTATCAATTGCACATAAAAGAAGTAGAAAATTAAAGAAATCAGTGCTCTAACACCAACAAGGCAAAAGATCGCCCACGCAGGGGCTATCAATGGCACTTAAATAACAAAACATAAATATAACACTGAGAATAACACAGACTAAAGGCAGCTATCCACTGCCACACCAAAAACAAACAGAAAAAAAAAAAAAAGAAAAGGGGAGGAGAGGGGGAAAGGAAGGAGAAGTGGAGAAGTACGAAAGAAAAAAGATAACCAAACCAAGAGCAGGGATCCAAGAACGCCAAAGCCAAACAACATCACATCCCCAGACTAGCCGGGGGGAGCATGGGAAAGGTATATTGCAGCCACGGCTCCCATATTTTCAAGAATTTACATTGGGAGTCGTTGCAGATACTCGACACCTGTTCATTGAGCATCATAGTGGTCATACGGTCCCGCACCCCCCCTGAAGAGGGACAAACAGGCTCTTCCAGGCCTGAGCAATTGTTCTAGAGGCCGACAAAAACAAATAGGAAGCCAGCTTCTGCTGATGAGCCAAGAGGCCCGGGGATGGGACAATGAAGCAAAGCATACCGAGCATCCCGGCGTATGGAGAGATGGAACAAAGTGAAAAGGAGGCCAAACACACGAGACCAAAAACGAAGCAGCCTCGGGCATGACCACCTGATATGCAATACATCACCACGATGGCCACAACCCCGAAAGCATCGATCACTGCAGGCAGGATTTGCCTGTGCCAAACGAGCCGGAACCCAATACCAACGAAACAATACCTTGTAAGCCGCCTCCAGCGTGGTCGTATTAAATGAGCATTTAGCTATGAGTGACCAGGCCTTATTCCAGTCCCCCGGATCCACAGCCACTCCCAGGTCGCGCTCCCACTGAACGACATATGAAAGAGAAGTATGCGACGAGCGTCTATTCAAAGCTGCATAAAGAAGGGAAATAAGGCCTGGGGCGCCCGGCCGCTGTTGGCAAAGCAGTTCAAAGGCAGATTTCTGGTACAGGAAGACAGAAGTGCCCCGCAACGAGAGCAGCCAATGCCGCAATTGAAGGTAACGAAAAAATTCCACCGGAGGGATATCCCGTGACTCCCGAAGAGAATTCCAGGTAGGGAAAGACCGAAAGGTCAAAAAGTGTCGTACCTGTGAAAAACCATTGGTCACCCACCAAGAAAAAACGCCCTTGGTTGATCTAAACCTGGTGGGAAGAGGGGGTTGTTAGTGATTGGGAGCAAAGGCAAAAAAGGTGACATTGGGCCACTGGAGTAACGTACCGAGTCCCACACTTGTAAGCCATGGAGCAAAATTGGACTCAGTGTTGTGGGGCGCAGGGCAGGGGGAAGCCATAGAAGTGTTGATAACGCAATAGGAGCACAATTAGGTAATTCCAGGAGGACCCAGAGAGGTATGTCTGAGGAAGCATGCAACATGGATAGCGGGGCGATCTGGCTCGCCTGATAATATTTAGTAACATTGGGAACTCCAAGGCCACCCTGGAGTCTATGAACAAAAAGCGTAGTTCTGGAAACTCTGGGGCGTTTATCGGCCCAGATAAAACACATAATCTTTACCTGAAGCAACCAAAGGAAATGAGGAGGAACCCGCACTGGGAGGGTGCGAAAATAGTATAACAATTTTGGCAAGATGGTCATTTTTACTGAATTAATCAGTCCTATCCATGACAGGTGCGGAAATTGCCAAGAATGCATAAGAGAGGACACAGAGCGAAGCAATGGATAATAATTTGCAGCAAACAGTGAGTCATAGGTGGTGGTTAAGCGGATGCCTAGGTATTCAAGAGAAGAAGAAGCCCATTTATAAGGGAAGTGGGACTGTAGGCGCGAAACCAAATCTGAGGCCAAAGTAATATTAAGCGTGACAGTCTTATCCAAATTGATACAGAGACCCGAAATCAAGGAGAAGCGCTCAAGAACCTGTTGCAAATTTGGAAGCGTCGTCAAGGGGTTAGTGAGAGTCAAGAGGGCATCGTCAGCAAAAAGGTTCAACTTGAACTCCTGTCCAGCGTATGGAACCCCTGATACATTACAATCAGTCCGGAGTGCCATAGCCAACGGCTCAAGCGCCAGGACAAAGAGTGCTGGGGACAGGGGGCATCCCTGCCTCGTATCTCGCCAAATAGGAAAGGAATCTGAGAAATACCCAGCGTATTTTACAGAAGCCGAAGGGGAAGAATACAAGGCTTGAATCCAAGAAAGAATAGAGTCCCCAAAACCCCAGCGAGACAGCACAAACCGCAGATAGTCCCAGGATAGAGAATTAAAGGCTTTATATATGTCTAAGGACAGTAAGAATCCCAGTATTTTCTGCTGTTGTAGAAAATGTATAAGATAGACCACCTTACGAACGTTATCACCCACCTGTCTCCCAGGGACGAAACCCACTTGGTCCCTGTGAATCAGGCTACGCAAATATTTATTGATACGACAGCTAAGAATCTTGCCTAATATCTTTAGGTCTTCATTAAGAAGAGAAATGGGCCGAAAGGCTTGCAGTTCCTGCACATCATCGGTCGTCTTAGGAATCATAGAGATATGAGCTCTAAGCGCATCTGGAGAGGGCAAGGAGCCTTGTCGTAACACAAAATAATCAGCCAAGAAGGGTGCTAACAGGGTTGCAAATTTCTTATAGTAGAGGCTGGAAAAGCCATCTGGACCTGGGGCCGCGTTGGACCGTAGAGATTTAATCGCTTGTAGCACTTCTGGTGTGCTGACACCGGCATTGAGGGCCTTCTGCGCTGCCTCAGATAGTCCAGGAAGGTGGAGGTCTTGAAAAAATGCCTCTGCCTGAGCCACAGGGAAGGGATCTGGTTTAGCGTAAAGTGAAAAAGTCCGCAAAACAGGAGACAATCTGCTGGGGATTAGAAGTACAGCCACCCACAGGAAGTCGCAATCGTGTCGGTTTGTGGGGTTTCCCCACAGAATTGAGTTTCCTGGCCAGCATCGGACCGGGCTTATTCGCACAGGAATAAAATTTATGTTTGGTCCAATGCAGGGCCCGTTCCGCCTCTGACGAGGCAAGTAGATCCAACTCTGCCGCCAGGGTGAGTGCTATCACACTTTGAATGACAATTGCGCGGTCAGGCAACACTATACCCATATGAATTTTTTAGCATTTTTTTGAGACAGATAAAACTTTATTTTGGTGGTATTAATTCACCACTGGGATTTTTATTTTTTTTTTGCTATATAAATGAAAAGTCAAACT